TTAGACGGTCGTCGTTTCTCGAATTTTGTAGAAGAGTGTATTTGTAGTCGAGATCGTGTCATAGAGAATCATTTCGTTCATGTTGTTCAGTCCTGAAATTACATGTTGGAATTTGGATTGGATTGGATTCGAGCGCACGAGACATTTCTACGCTAGTTGTTGTTTAGTGGCTGGCTGGATTGGGTGGGGGGAAATGGAATGAGAAAGGGGTATCCAAACAAATGAGTGTGGGACCTACGCATAGGAGTAGGTCAGGAGAAGAAAAAGAGTATCTAACAAAGAAACGACAAAGCAGACTACAAATACGACTAAAAAGCATAGGGATGGTCCGGGGCAGAAAAGACTAGGGATACAGGAAAGGGGTGAAAGGGGGGGTATTAAAGATGAAGGGATAAAGATATAGAAAGGCAGAACTAAAGTATACCAAGGGTATGAGGGAGGCCAAATAAATAACTTAAAGCCTGTGACCAGGTACAGCCCAGAAGAGCATCGTCAGCGCTGTCGAGAATGCCGCTACAAGGACCGACACCCAGATCGCTCGTCCAAGCAACAGCTTCTTGACGTACGGCTCGCGCATGGTCAGCGTTCTAAACGGTGTCGTCTCTGACTGGTTCAAGAAGACCAGGATAGGATCTAGTTCGTATTGATGCGAGATCAAGAAGAGGATGGCGAGGGTGTATGGAATGAAGAGCTAGTATCTGTTAGCACAAGCCTTCATCTGAGATTGGCTAGGGAGAACTCACGAAGAAGCGTTTAGACTTTGGCTCGACGTCCAAGAAGATGAGCGAAAAGCCCACCGCGAGGCCTATCCAGAGGATAACGAGACCCGCAATAAGTCGAACCAACGCCGAAATCGGCGTCAGGTTTCCAAACGCCTTGGACCTCAAGAACCTCGGAAACGCATCCTGCTCCATCGCTCTAAAACAATATTCCTTTTGCGCATGAAACATGTCGGGTATCTGTGCCATAATCGACAGCTCGGCCTGGCTCTTGGGTTCATGGTTGCTGCTCAACGGGAAATTGTGGATCCGTAACGCAGGAGGCAAGTAGATCTCGTGGTTCTCTTGCGAGTTGACGGTGTTGCCTGCGGGGGAGAGGTACCGATAAAAGATGCGTTCGGCGGAAGCGATGAGGTCCATTCGGGTTATGGCTGCTGAACGGGGGATAACGGTGGGCGCGCGCGAGGCTCTGCGGAGGTTGAACAGGGTGGGTGTCCGACCCGAGAGAGAAAAGGGGGTGGTGGAACGAGGTGGGTCGTTCATCGGTTCGACAGAGGTCGACGCGTGCATACGCTGGTCGGGCGTTATCGATCTTCTCCCATAGTCTCCCCCTCCGTCTGTCGCTGCGAGATTCCGCTTGTCAAGGTCGGAGACGAGGTCAGTTGTGCTCCGTGTGCTTCGCTTGGTGTTCATGTCTGGGTTGAGACCGACGACGGTGCCGTAGATGGAGCCACGACGACGGGCATAGTCCCAGTATTGAGGCCAGTCCTCTTTGATGGTCTTGCCCGACTTGCGGACGTCCTTGAAATAGGCGCGGCAGAGGTTCTCGTGCTGCTGGACGTCGAGCCAAAAGTCTAGAATGTCCTCTGCGCCTTCACGTTGTAGGAATAGACTACCAGTACAATTAGCGTTGGCTCTAGTATAGACGTTGGGGGACGCACTAGAACATGAACAGGTCGACTGGTGGACGAGTCTTCCTGGACAGAACCTCTGTGAAGGACGGTAGTCTGTTTTTACGGCTGTTGGCCCAATCATCTTGCTGTCGCTTCTCGTCATCCATCGTCGTTCAATGGCGCCAACGGTTTTTTTGGTGAACTAGCCGTCGTCGTTGTCGTCGGGCGTCGCTGTCAAGAACAAGAGCAACGATGCAAGGTCTGTGGGAATTCTTAGCCGTTGACCGGCTCCTGTTCCATGGTCACGTGTATCCTTCTGGACCTGATTCTGCTTTCGTTTCGACGTCCACCACCTTTGCCTTTCCGTTGCGTCTTCTAGGGCTCCTCGATAGTTATTATGAGCCAAATATTCAAGAAGGCATTCTCCCCTGCGGTACGGGAGGTCCGTTTCCTCCTCTCACAGACTGGACCGGCGTCATCCGGCACAAGGTCAGTTTCCCTCTATGCTCTGTAGGATGTGGCTAATAGCATAGTCTCCAGAGAGTTCATCCTTGCCAACTACCCCGTTATTAAACAACACAACCAAGACCTACCAGTTATGATTCGGGAGGCAGAGGGTACACCAGCACGGGTATTTGCGCGGTTCGGTGCGTGGTTCACGGTTTCGTCCTCGGAGCGTATCGTTGACATTCGGCTTTGCAGAGCGAGGTGTTGAGCAACATGCGGAACTAGACAACCTCAACTCTGGCGAAGTGGCATCGAGAGTCGCTGAGCTGTTGGGCTTGGCCAAGAAGTAATTAACGACCACCTCTCATAGACGCAATACCATTGCTCTTTCTCCTCGATTGTCACGCCAGCGAAGGTTCTATGTCTCAATGCGGTTGTGCTTTTGGGTATTGCCTCTACGCTCAAGGTTCGTTGTTAACCACCGCAATGCTGAATCTAGGACATACATGACAAGCGTCATTTCGTGGAAAGAGAGTTGTATTGACAGCCGGGCTCTTTGCTTCTCATGAGTCTTCTGAGACTACACCCGTTGACCAAGGATGCCACAAGCACATGTCCTTCCATTCAATGCAACCCCTCCGATGACACTGTCCTTCCACAAGGACTGCGCGCGACCTTTTGCCGTTCTCGCAGACCTAGGGTCCGCTCGGATATTCTTCGTCTCCTTGCCAATAGAAGCAGAACCCGGTACGCGAGGTGCTCCTCTGACACATGAAAAAGAACTCAAATTCTACTGTAACAAGTCTTCAGCAATGGTCACGCCCAACTAGTGTCAAAAAGATGCTCCCTCAAGCCTTTCCATTTATTCATCGGGGTCCGCCACGGACCGCCTACCAACTTCTGCCTCCCTCACCACCCTCTCCGGAAAGACCAACGAAGCATACCCGGGCCCCATATGATTTTCAGAGCAGCTTCGACGGTCCGCCTCGATGGGTCGCCGCCTGCCACTACACAGGCACCAACACTTCTTCCCTCCATGCGACTTTAGAACTCAATGGTCAACCGGTTACAATACCGTGCTGCATATAAGCCCCTCGGTCTGGCTTTGGACAAGTGACGCAGCAGGAGCAGCAGTTTGCAGTCTCCTTCGAAATTCACGATGCTCCAATTCAGTCTTCGCACCCTCTTCACTCTCTTCGTTGGCCTACTTGGGCTCACCTCGACCTGGGCTTTCCAAAACCCCATCAAAGCCAAGGATGGCTCTGACCCATTCATGGTCTGGCACGAAGGGTACTATTGTACGATGATCATCCTGCCCCCCTAGTATGATCGCAAAGCTCTGCTAACCCGCCTACCTCTCGTATGCAGACCTGACGACGACGACCTGGTCGAACATCCAAATTGCTCGAGCAACGACGATCGCAGGGCTAAAGACCGCTTCGCCAAAGGTCGTCTGGCAGGACACCAACACAGCTTCGAGGTGTTGCAACCTCTGGGCTCCCGAGATACATTGGCAATCCAAGGAAGGGAGTTGGTACATGTACGCAGCATGTTTCACTCTTCCGCTTCCGTCACCTTCCTCTTTTTCTGTCTTCGAGTGGTATGTAGCTAACGCAGGCGTGTCCAGCTACTACTCTGCCGGCACAGCAGGAACGTTTGATAACCAACGAATGCACGTCCTCAAAGGCTCCTCTACCAACATCTGGAGCTCTTCTTGGAGCTACGCAGGACGTATCGTCATCCCAAACCGCGACATCTGGGGGATCGATGGTAGCATCATGGTCATTGGGGAGACACGATACTGGATATACTCGAGCTGGGATGGTGCTGGTGAGTGTTCAAATAACAGGTGAAATGGCAAGAAACATGAGCTGATTTGCACGACGTTTGTAGACCAATGTCTGTGGATTGCAAAGATGAATAGCGCGACGACAGTTGGAAATGCGGTCAAGATCTCTACGCCGACCTATGCTTGGGAGCGGGTCACTGCGAACGTCAACGAAGGCGCCGGTAAGTTCTCGTTCTACTGCGGTCCTTGATCCCCCTTCATTTTTTGCTCATTGCTCTATCGGTACGACAGCAATTCTATACGGAGGCGGCCGAACCCTCCTCATCTACTCTGCGTCCAACTGCGCCGGCACAGGCTATAAACTGGGCATGCTCGAGCTCAGGGCGGGCGCTGACCCTCTCAATCCGGGCTCGTGGACCAAGTCGAGCCAACCAGTCTTCCAGAGTGCGAATGGGTGCGTATGCCGCTGCTTTCTCCGGTACTTGGGGTTTGGAGCTTGGCTGACGAGGGTGAATGTGTGATAGGATCTACCAGGTGAGTACTTATCTCGAACGGCACTGGCATGGATGTCATCAGGATAGTGAGCTGATCCTCGATGGCTAGCCTGGGCATAATGGATTCTTCCTCAGTCCATCCGGAAACCAAACTTGGATGGTAAGTCTCCTTGCACACTTTGTGCTCTATTCTCGGAAGTAATTTGTCGATTCCCCACCCCCTAGGTCTACCACGCCAATTCGGTTACGCCAGGAACATGCGACGGGAACCGATACACTGCAATCCAACGGTAGGTTCCTCCTTTTCCCCTCTAAGCCCAAGGCTCTGGTGGACTGAAAATGGTGCATAGCGTCAATTGGTCGGGTAGCTCGCCTGTCTTTGGAGCCCCCATTTCTCTCTCGAGCAATATTGCCGAACCTGTTTAAATTTGATTTAGTCGTGTGTTGTGGCGGCTACCCCGAACGGAAATATCATGGAACAGAATCACATCTCTTCGTACGAGCATAGCGGAAACCCTGTTGCCTGGGCATGTCCAGCGCAATGCAAGCGAAATACACAGGTACCGAGCCAGGAAGGAACACAAGCCGAGGTAGATTTCCGGGAGAATAAAAGTGTAGAGCCTTCCTTTCGCCTTGGCAAAATGATAGAATAGCAACGTGCCCACGTCAGGGATTGAACCTAAGACCTTGTCATTACGAGTGACACGCACTACCACTGTGCTACGGGGGCGATGAAATCCAACTTTTGGGTAAAAAACATCACAGCAAAAACAGGCCGGTATACAACCGACGTTTTTCCTCAGACTCTGTCACTCACGCAATCAAGCAGGCTCTGGGACTCTGTCTAGGAGGATAGAAGCAGCTCGAGTGAGCGGTGAGGTAGCTATATGTTTGCCTAAGCATTAACGAACGCCCCGACCGGCCAGCCAAGTTTGTCCCAACAGTTTGGCAGGCTAGCTCTCTTGGAAGTTGGAAACCTCCATGGCTTTCATTGCATATCCAACGAACAGATTTGACACGAAAGGGACAGAATATCCAGCGAATAGTGAGATGACTTGGACTTGGTCAGGTTGCAATGTAGGATGGTGCTGCGAGAGTAAAGCAATAAACTGCAAGTACTGAGCGTATAAGAACAGCACTGCGGCCTACTGCCCGTGCTGTAACAGGGACACCAAAGGTAAATGACTGGGTAGAATATCTGTTGGTCTCCCAAGCAGCATATATAGTACATTCAAAAGACCATTGAAAGTTATATGCCTTACAGATGTCAGAGGGCCCCGGCTGCCTGGAGGCGTCATCGTTCTTAACAGAGGAGCTCTGAGGGGGATTTCCGAATGTACTATATATGTGTTGTTTGGTAGCTCAATAGATTTTCTGCCCAGTTATTTGCCTTTGGTTTCCCTGTTATAACGAGCCAGCGACAGTCCGAGAGTTCTTCTTCCCGCAGGGTCCTCAGCCTGACACACCCAGTTGATACCTCAGTTTTCAATTTCGCCCCGTTTCACTGGCAATGAGATAGTAGGCTTTAGAGGAAGGTGGGACGCACAACCTTTACTGTGCTATTGGAAATACAATGGTCAAACGAATATTTGGAGCCTTGACCAATGAAATTGTGACCGAAACTATGCATTCGGTTTTGGTAATTGAGTTCGAAAAGAGATTTAGTTATACAAGTAAGAAATACTTAGATGTGGTCGAATCAAAACGAAATCCGACACTGTTCTCCTTCCCTGGAACGCTTCCACAGCCTGAGCAACTGGCGACGAGTAATGACGCTCGAGACTTTCGTGATCTCTGATCTTCTTTCCTTCGCTCAGCCACTACATCTGATGCTTTCCCCGAGATTCAGGCAGGCCGCGACCGAACAGCGTCATTAGAGAGCCTCTTGATCAAAACCATCGAGGGCATGTCCTGGGATCTTCACCGTTTAATCAGACCGCCCAACCATGCCAGCGTCAAAGCTACTATCGTTGAGCCTCGAGCAATTGGCATGTTTCCGCTGGACCAACGCCACCTACGGTTGCTCGAGCGTCTTCCGTCCCTTATTCTGCTTCAGGAAACTTCGTGACCCCTTTTACGGGCTCAGCCTGGCCACGGGACCATGTCTAGAAGCTCTTTGGTCGCGTGGCATAGTACCTCCACGCAAAGCCCCTCTAGCTCTTCCACAGATTGTCCGACGAGCTTTCCCATAACCATACAATCATCTAGGAACCGCACGCTCAAGGGGGCCTGAGCGTTTGCTTACCTTTTTTGAATAGCAGCTGCTTCGATCTTGAACATGTTGTTGGTTCTTCTGCTTCGCGGCATCAGTGGCTAGTTAAGTATAGGCGTCCGCTGGGATGGTTACATGTTCGTGGAGACATACGTGCTTTCCTTGTCCCCAATCCCATTGTCATGCCGTCGGCTCTCTCCTGAGCAGGACATTTATCCCTTTTTCCGGCTCATCCACTCTTCCTATCTCCCTTGATCCCTTCGAACCGAAGAGCCTCCCCTTCGTTCTCAAGCATAGGAGCTACATATAGCACTGGTCCACGTTCGAGTGTCTGGAAATAGATAGGAGTGCCCTTGGATGGACACCTCCTCGGGCTACCAGCAACTCTCACCTAGACATACCTCCAACTATGCGCAAATGCCTATCGAGACCACAAGAATGCTCATCGGGCGACAGACGACGATTCAGACACCCCCGCCTATCCTACCCTCTCCCCCAAATGCTCCGTCTCCGATCGTCATCATGGGAGCCATGAATGCTTCATTTGTGGTACGTTCCACTCGCCAGTCCATCGTGTGCACCTCTCAACCGCGATTGTTCACCTAGTCCGATGGAATCCTCTATGGTACATCTGCCTCGACTACACCCGGCCCTGAATGGAAGCTGACGCCATTCCGCTATTTCAGGGATTCACCTCGTCCTCTTCGCAATGTGCTGCTACATCCTCCTCACCTTCCAGCGACGAATACAGTGGTTTATACTAGCAGCCGTATGCGCCATGTTTGCAATATCCACGGCCGACATTGGTCTATCCATAAAGCTATCCACGACGGACCTATGGGCACTACACCAAGTCCCGCCACAATCTTCCATTGACAAAATGCCCCCAAAGGCCGTGCTATTCGTAACCAACAAGTACGTCCATCTACCCTTGCCTCGGCCTCGAGATAAGCATCATCTCACTGGACTGCAAGTCTTCTCGCGGATATTCTTTTGGTGCGTGCCCAAGCCCGGGTGAATGGTTGTTCCTCATTCGCTTCCTTGCTAACTACGCCATTATTTTAGTTTCATCGCTGCTGGGTTATCTGGGGCAGACCGCGGCTGATTCTATGGATCGCACTCGTGTGCTTGACGGCGGATTCAAGTACGTTATTTCCCTCTCCACGTTTCGCCGGCTCACATTCTCGCCACAGTATGGGGCTACATGGGCCATGCGACCAAAGCTGCACTATGGCAGCACACCTTTAGACCGCTGTATCTGTGGACCGTGTTTGCATTGAACGTCACTGTCACTGCTGCTGCAGGTGCGTTCTCTATCCCCCGTACCTCCCATTGAACCGAGCCGAATTCGCCACCAGCTGGTCGCATCTATTGGGTCTCCGTCGTGGCCTACCCTCCCGTGGAGAGACGAGTGAAGAGGATCTACCGAGCCATCATCTCCACCCTCGTCGAATCCGCCGCCATCTACTCCTCATGCATTCTCGTGTTCCTCCTCTGGTCCAAATTCGCCGAGGCTAGTGCGTACTGGGTACGTCGTTGCTATCTTTATTTCTTACACCGCGGCGACTTGGAACGCTTCTTTTCCTACGAACTCTTTCATTGACGTTACCCGCGCTATTATTAGGTTGTACCACAGACGATGATGACCCGACTCGTGGTGAGTAACCGGGCCTCTTTTCCGGGTCAAAGGAGAAATAGCTGACAGCATGCTCCATCGCTCCTTCACAGGCTATTATGCCGACGTTGATGATTGTTCAAACTGGCTTTAGCCATCGTGCGTACCGTTGCTGTTGTCCGAACAATCACGACTCGAAGAATCACAACGAATCTGTTATCCTGGACACCGTCATTTCCGGTGTTCGAGACCTACATCATAGCCCTCATCGCGGCGATCTCGAGATGGGTGTGGATGTTGACCGGCATAACAGGGAGGTTGCGGAGATCAACCTTAGGACGGTGGTGAGTGGTGGACGGGAAGACAGCAAGATTGGGATAGAGCTAGACGAGAAGATTCTCGACGAAAAGGTTGACAGCGATTCATCACGGACACCATAACCATGTTTTACAATTCAATCATTCTTCCTTACATACCTTCATAGCATCCAAAGAATATGCTTCACATGGCCCGATAATGCTGGCATTTGAGATGATCTTTTGATCGTTCTGTCCATGAATGAATTCAATACTACTACAGTTTCAAATTGGTTGTGCGCGCTATAGATTTTACTTCGACAACATCATCTTCACGAATTCTGAGAGTGGCGTGAGTTGGATGAGATCTCGCAGCAGCAGTTTTTCACTCACCCTCGTAGTTGATCTGACCGTCACCATCGACGTCGGCTTCCCTGATCATCTCGTCGACCTCGGCATCGGACAGCTTCTCACCTGCACACCCCAGTAGTTAGCTCTAGTCTGCCCGAGATAAAGGCTCCACGCACCAAGGTTGGTCATGACATGACGCAGCTCAGCGGCGCTGATGTAGCCATTTCCATCCTTGTCAAAGACCTTGAAGGCCTCCTTGATCTCTTCTTCGCTATCGGTATCACGCATCTTCCGTGCCATCATGGTGAGGAACTCGGGAAAGTCAATGGTGCCGTTGCCGTCTGCGTCGACTTCGTTGATCATGTCCTGAAGCTCAGCCTCAGTAGGGTTCTGTCCGAGCGAACGCATGACGGTTCCGAGCTCCTTGGTGGTGATGGTGCCATCGCCGTCTATTAAGGAGCGTCAATGTGCGTTCTTTGTGTGCACAAAGAGTACGTACCCTTATCAAAAAGGGAGAAGGCCTCCTTGAACTCTGTGGGCGGTTATTTGTTAATGGGACTCTTTGACACGGCGCCAACAAAGGGATCGCGTCCGATAACAAGTTACGCACCAGAAATTTGCTCTAAAAGGCACAAGAAACGGTTCCAGATACACATATCAGCGTGAAATCATTGTCACGATCCTCAACTCATTCACCTTCAGACTAGAGATAACAGCTCAATGAGCTCAACTTTTACGATCAGCTAGCGATTCACGTACCAATTGGTCAGCCATTATACAGAAAGTTGCTTAAGGTGAGTCGGAAAGAGGAGAAATGAGGGTAAACGGATGTATAGATGGTCGTCAAATGGCAAGATGAAGAAAGGGACTACACCCATTCTAATCAGGTCAGAGGGTTGCTCCAACGTTCGCGGCTATCTCCGTCCGCTTTGGATGCTTCCGCTACACACATTTCCCGAATTGGGTCTCCGTCTCGCAAGACAATAAGCGCCGATGTGACGACACTAGCTCAGGAACCGAGAATCGAGAAGAGAAGAATCACGATGGTCTATTCTATCGGTCTTTTAAGGCTAAAGTATTGGTACATGTGACTGTGATATTCGCTCCAGCGCTAACCAAGTGGCTCATTGAAAGCCTGAGCGGTCTTGGGGCCTTCATTTGTGAAAGGGAGGCTACCGACCGGTATGAGGTATTGCCTCTGCCAAAGCTCCACCCCCTTCCACTCTCAACGAGCCCAAAACTAGGGCGATTTCGAA